GAGCGGTGGGACGGGGCACCCTGCGGTACCCGTCCCTGCCCGACAGCCCCGGCCTGTCCGTCCGTCTGTCCAGGCGTTACAGAAACCGGCGTGTAAGGCGGCGAAGGAGCGTTCGGTGGTTCCCGCGTCTCTGCGCAGGCCGGGGAGCGGGCAGGGCACGGCACAAGCTGATGGGGGAGGCCTGGGCTGGTTATTCTGGGCGCTCTGAAGGCGATGGATTTCAAATTGCGGGGTATCCCTGCGTCCTCTGCTTCCCTTTCCTTCGGATTTGTCTTCAGGAAGGGATGCGAGATTCCAAAAAGCACCCCGAAGGAAGTGCAGGCTTTATTTTTCCTGACGCCTACTCCTCACTTCCCCGAGCCACCCCTCAGTGCTGTCTGTTACGCTGGGAAGGTGGGATGGCGTTTTGTGGAAGCTGACCCCACACATACAGGACAGCAAATTCAAATTAATAGATGAAAGGCTATTAACTGCAGCATTGCTCCAGTCAGTTACTCCAAAACCTGAAGCTGAGGGAGTATCAAATGTGTGATTTCTAGGCTTGACTTTGTGCTTGTGTTGAAGGGTGGATCTTCTGGGATGCTGTTGCCTCACTGGGGCCTCTGTTTAAGACAGGGTGATGTTTAGGTGAGAATGTGAACCCAAAACTAAAACCACAGATTCTTTGTGCTACTCTGATACAGGTTTTCTGTACGAATTTGAGAGTCACTGCAGCTGGGATGCTAGAGATGCTTAGGTATCTTAATTTATTGCAGCAGACCACTACTCTTCCAGGAAGTCTGTGTATACAATAATATGATCCTGATTTAAAAAGGCAGAGGAGAGTGGCTCCCCATTTTGTGAAGGCTGAAGTAATGCTTTGTAGGGCTGAAAAACATGTTTGTTGCAGCTGAAGCAGCTTGAAAATCAGTGGCTAGACAGCTGGCTGGAATGTCTGTGGCTTGTCAGAGGTCTGTGTGAGACACTTGTGTTACTGATGGAGCCACGGTGCTCCTGGAGGGGAGCTTGGGAAGACTTGCACAGGTTAGGAACGATGGTGCTGCTGTTGGTGGTTGGAGTTCACATGCGTGCCGAGAGTAAGGAAACAAAATTTGTGATAGAAAATTATGTACACTGTAGTTTAAACGTGTGAGGCACTGACTCCACTATACAGGGAAAGCTGAACCCCAGTGTCTGCTGTTCGATTGGTGGCCCACGGTACTCAATTTGGCACAATCATGTGCGGCCCTTTATAATTGTCACAAATTTCGGGCTCCCCAGGGAAGTGGTCACGGCACCAAGCCTGTCGCAGTTCAAGGAGCATCTGGATGATGCTCGTAGTCGCGTGGTTTAGTTTTAGGTAGTGCTGCGAGGAGCAGGGAGTTGGGCTCCGTGATCTTATGGGTCCCTTCCCACTCGAGATACTCCGTGATTCTGTGTGACAAACTCCACGTTAACTGACCGCTGCAGCTGTGCAGGGTTTGGGTTCCTTGGGACGGGAGAGGGAGGCTCTGAAGCTGTTGGTAGTGGACAGCAGAGGAGCACCCACGCTGTGTGGTGTCCATGGAAGATGCAGATCCTGAACAAGCAATGTTTTCTGGTGGTGGTGTGAGAATAAACCCATAAAGCTGACCAGTTGTTGTGTTATAATAGGATATAGGGGTTGGAAAAGAAAAGGGGTATGTTCTAGTGTGTTATGAGAACACTTGTGGGGCTTTAAAAAAAAATAGCATTCCTTGTGCTAAAAAGTGATTGTCTAAACTTTCCTTAGTGTCTTAAGAGTCATGAATTCTCCAGTACTAGCAAAATGCATCCAAAAGGGAGGGAGACAGTGAAGAACTGTGAACTGGACAGATTTTCCTTTTTTTTTATTTTTTTTTTTTAAGAAAACACAATTTAAAAAAGCAGAAATTAAATTATGAGTAATCTGTCAATACGAGGGGTGAGCCAGAACGCAGCAATGATACTGCCTTTGCTGTTCGCACCACCGGTGATTTCTGATGACATGTTGTTGGTTATGGAGGGTGCTTAAACCCTTCACAGCGGGGCCTGCGGTTTGTGGTGGCAGCGTTTGTGCTTGTGACTGAGCGCAGCGGGCGGTTTGGTGGGTCTGAGCTCAGTGGCGCTGAGGAATGGGATGGCTCCATGAGCTGGCTGTATTAGTAACGTTCCTGCGTAGGCAGAGGTTAAACATTCTCTTTGTGATTACTTCCAGGTTCTGGGAAAGATGACCACTCTCACACGGCAGGACCTTAACTTTGGGCAAGGTAGCGTGCTGTGCTGGTATCTTGCGAGGCTTCCTGCTGGCACGTGAGCTTGCGGGATTGTTATCGTGGTTGTTCTGTCCCTAAACTTCCTGCAGCTAAGGGGAAGCACGTGAAATTTATGCAGGGAAAAATACCTTTAAAAATTTTCATAAGAGTATATGGTATTGCCCTGCATGCTTCCCCCCCTCCATACTTCAGCATCCTTTACTTTTGTTTTTCAGTTGTTGCAGATGTTCTTTCAGAATTCCTGGAAGTGGCTGTTCACCTTATCTTATACGTCAGAGAAGTTTACCCTATTGGGATCTTTCAGAAGAGGAAAAAATACAATGTACCTGTCCAGGTAGGAGATTTTCCTGGAAGCTGACAGCCACGTGGACAAGGAGGATAGCAGGGATCAGTCAACACTCACCAGAACAAACTAAATCACTTCCAGAGCTTGCTTTAACATGCAAACTCATTTTTGAAGAGAGCTTAGTTCCCGCCAAAAGGGAAAACAGCCCTGTAGCTGAGGACACAGCAGTACTCATGGAACAAGCAGATCACGGACAACAGTAGTAGGCGGCTTCCCCAGCTACGTGCAGTCAGGTAACATGAAGGCACGCTTCCTAGGAAGAGGGGTGGTTGGAATACAGTTCCCAACGTGCTACTGGGGGTATATATTGCCAATATACTACAACCGTGTGGGTACAGTGATCTGCCTCAGCTAACCAAAATGATGCTGTGATTCTAATTAACCCTTCCATTGAAGAATTACTGGTTTGAATTGGCAACTTAGTGGTGAAAAGTGCTATTTGAAGCATGACTCGAGTGCCTGGTAACACACTGTTAAAATCTTCCCGTTTAGCATTGTCCTGGTTCACATCAGAACGCAGCTCTGACTATTCACTGTATTTGCTGCAGATGTCCTGCCACCCAGAGCTGAATCAGTACATCCAGGACACGCTGCACTGTGTAAAGCCACTGCTCGAGAAGGTAAGGTCATGTCAGGGGCCTGGGCAAGTGGTTTTGAAGAAAGTAAGAAAACATAAATACTGTCTTCACTGCAAAATTTATTTACAAATTTACCATATACAATATAGCAGCTGATAAAGTTACTAACAAAAAATAAAATTAACATCCGTAACCTTTCCTTGCAGTTAAGGCCCTGCCTTGCTGCTGATTGTCGGCATTTAGTTGCATCTAATACACGTGTGTGAGGATGTACCTCGGTATATTTTCAGTTACATCATCCTGCACGTTAACTTAACGTTCTGCTTTTAAAGGCATTTAAGCTTAAGCACCTGTCTGGCAGTAGAGTTGGAATGCTTTGCTGTAAGCCAGCAAGCAAAGATAGGTTTGACCTCTAGGTTTTTGTAAGAGAAAGGTGTGGCCATAGGCGGCACCTAAGGACGTAGGATGCTGGCAGATTGTGCATTCTCTGCTCTTTACAGACAGACTTAATGCACATTTAGAGACTGGCAAGAGGTCAGTTTTACCTTGCGGCAGTACAGAGCTGCTATATTTGGCCACCGGTCTGAGCACATCTTAACTTCCCCGTCGTTGTTGGTTCCCGAGTGATGCAATGAGATGGCTGTACATGTCCTCCTTTGTTCCAGAACAGTATCTGGAGAAACGTACTGTTGGTGCCTTAGTGATGAGCTGTCTTTGCAAAAGCATTTTTTCTGATTGGTAAGAATAATCTGACAGTGCTCAAGCTTTGGCTAACTGCTGGTGCTGTGAGCCACAACAAAGCAGCGTACTCCCACTTCATCAGCAGGGTGCGAGGCTGCGGGCAGAAGACAGCTTGTTTTAAGGAAGGGCTTTTTCTATCTTTGTTCTTGCAGAACGATGTGGAGAAAGTTGTAGTTGTGATCCTGGATAAAGAGCACCACCCTGTGGAGAGATTTGTCTTTGAGATCACCCAGCCGCCTCTTCTGTCCATCAGGTAACGTCCCCAGTGACCGCTGGCCCCGGCCCCAACACCCGCCTCTGCAGCGGTGCTCTGGAAGCAGCGCCAGGCCCCGGTACTTTGCCGCACGCCAGTAACAACTGCTCTCGCCCCAACAGTTCGGAGTCCCTGCTGTCCCACGTGGAGCAGTTACTGCGTGCCTTCATCCTGAAGATCAGTGTGTGCGATGCTGTGCTGGACAACAACCCCCCAGGTAGACGCGTCCAGGCAGCGCGATGGCACGGCCCTGCTGGGCGTGAGACGGTGGGTGGCGTCCGATGCTCTCTGGGTTGTCCCCTGATCCAGTCTGCCCCTTCTCTTACAGGTTGCACCTTCACAGTCCTGGTTCACACACGGGAGGCTGCCACACGGAACATGGAAAAGATCCAGGTGATAAAGGTGAGTGGTACCTGTGGCTGCCCGACTGCGCGTGAGCAAGCTGCAGAGCAAAGGGTGAAGTTGGCGTTTTGGCATCGCCAAGGTTAAGGCCGCCAGACGGTCTGAACGTGCACGTTACCTTCCCGTGATGCACTTCACAGCTTTGCTTTGAATGTGGACGGTTTGCGCTGGTGAGGTGACAGAGCACACCCACCACACACAGCTGCAGACAGGAGCTGCTGCAGTGCCTGACTGGGGCTGTGACACCTCGTACCGTGCAGCGCCTGCTCAGTCACCTGAGTGCTGACAGACCCAACGGGTACTGGCATTTCACCAACACCACATACAAACCCCTCACCCCCTGTCCGCTAGCTGTGGGTGGCTGATTCTTTTCAAAGATACGAGTAACTAGTGGGTTTGGGTGCACGAATACATTTTATCTTGTAGGAAAATGTGTGCAGATCACTTTTTAAAGGAAGATTTTAATTTTTTTTAAAGAGTCTTTGGTTAGGTACAGGGAAAGTTTTTTTTCCCCAAGCCAAGTCATTTTGGCTGTCCTAAGGCACAAGAAAGCTAGTGAAGCATAAAGTTGTTTCAAAATGGAAGCCTGCTCTGCACTGGTAGTATAGTAGACCAACCTTTAAACCTGCAAGGCAGGACAGAAATCTGTGCCCTGAGTGTTTTGGAGTTGCAATGAAATGCTGGTATAATGAGTAGAACACACTAGCTCAGGACAGCTGAGTGTATTGTTTAAAGCCGTGAGATGTCACCTTTGGAATAAGCAAAGCGGGTTAACATGATAGTTCGATGCTGTAACTGACAATAACTATGCTGAGTCTCAGGGCCAAGTGGGCACCTGTTAAATTTTGCTGTTCTGAAAAGTGTGAGTTTCCCATTTCTTCCCTCAGCCACTACAGCTCCCACTCACTTAATGCTGACCTAGTGCTGAGAAAGGAGCTCACCTTACAGAGTCTGCCAGCCTCTCTGCAAATAAAGCACCTTGTGTTCCTGCCCCTAGGATTTCCCGTGGATCCTCGCTGATGAACAGGACGTGCACATGCACGACCCCCGGCTTATCCCCCTGAAAACCATGACGTCGGATATCTTAAAGGTGAGCAGAGCATTCCGGCCCAAGAGGGGGCTGAAACCGCTTTGTCTAGGCTGATGCCAGCTCTGCAGTTTTCTGTAGGG